CTCGTAGAATGCATAATTGACACTTTTACGAATCCGTGAGAACAGTATCAGAATAAATAACTAAACAACTCTAAAACAATACAAGTACAGCAGTGGATAGTGTTCCATTCTATTTTCAAAAATCTTCAAAACCTCAGTTGAAAAAGATCAATGATTGTATACACGTGAGTTTAAAAAATCCAAAACTATGAATCATTATATTTGATCATCGTTCAAAATAATTTGTGCTAGCTGAAAGCTCTCTATTTAAACGTTTTGGCATGAAAATCTATTCAGAGTCAAAGATATTCAATTTGAATCAATTTGTGGTTTCCGACTCTAACGTTTTTCACGCAATTGAGTGCTACGTCTGAATAACTACTCCTTAATTGTCTCTTTTTTCTTTACTCAAATTTTTGGTATAACATCAAGATGAACGTTGTCATCACTCATATCATCTGGCAGGGCTTGACTATGATTGATATCATTCAAATAACTATTACAACCACCGATAAATTCTTGAAAATACAACTCCAAATCCAATGGTATGTTGCTACATATTGATAACTTGTCATACTCACTATGGTTTATCTTTGTAAAAGTAAGTTAGATAGAAATTACCACATGATACTATGGTAATTTTTTAAGTACTATAAATAGAAAATTAAAGTTGAGACTCTCAAGCAAGTTTAGAGGGTTTATGTGTGGAGACTTGTTTCATATATGAAAGATTGACGTTTTTTAGCATCTTGAAGTGTCGATGTGTGACATTTGAGTGATGAATTGAGGAAATGTGTGAGCGGGGGTTTGGAACATGATCATGAGGTATAATTCTAGTCTTCTAGAACCATGATGAGTTATCACAAAGCAAATCCGAGATAAACATGAGTGAGAGACAACCTGAGGTTGTAGAGGTGACAGGTTTAATCGAGGACTCTCCAACAATTTTCACAAGACCGGAGAAGTATCTCTCGCGTGCCTGATACTTCACTATTTTTGCTCGGATTTGAAAGGTTGTTCAAGCCAAAAGTTTAATTAGTCCTCATCTTTCTATACACTATTTCTTGATTGGTCTTGTCCGGTTATACCTTTTGTGGGATGAGTAGCAACTTGGCGGATTTTACTTCTTTCCTCTCTACGTCAAAAATAACTCCGTGACAGATGCCACATCAATCCTCAACTGCCACCTCCGTCTGATGCCTGACGCTCTTTAGCGTCGATGATGATATGTTCTTGTTTTGTCTGTCTTTCTCTCCCAGACTGTGGCTTTTGGCCTTTTTCCCAAGTCTCAAGTCAACACTCTTTGTCGGATGATACTCACTACATTTGTCTTCGTCCGTGTTTAAACAAGTCATCTAGTCTATGAAACTCTGTCGCGAATAACACGCATTTAGTAAAAAGTATAATATTTAAGGGTTTAAAAATTTTTAAATTATAACTTCATGAAATAACAAATGTATTTTCACGTCATGAAATAATCACATCTCAAAATTGAATATATGTGAATCTAATTTGAATTCAAATTTTTAAATTGGACATTTGTATCAATTATCATTGTATTTTGTATCAATTCTAATTAAATACACATCCTTATTATTTGTGTTTTCATTATTTCATTATTTTATATAATTTTGTGTAACATTAAGGTTTATACTAAAAAACGCATTCAAAGATGAAACATAAACTCCTAACATGAGTGGTTTACCTTTCCCGTATATAGATACTTCAAGCGTATACACAAAGATGAAATATTTTCTCCAACATCCAACCTACTACTACCGGATTGATGATATAACGGATATACCTAATAAGTACATGGATTTTTTTCATGTCGTTCTTAACTAACACATTCAATATTTACCTAACAAGCACATAGATTGCTAACGTGTCGTTTTCAACTAATGCATTAACTAGCACACAAATTACTTACATGACACTGTAGATATAGATATTCCATCTACTCTACTCAATCTTAAGTAACCTCTACTTTAATTTTAACTAAAGATGGTTACATTATGTAGTATTGTTTTTCATCATTTAAGAATTATTTGTATCATAAGCTTTTCAACTCTTTGGTTTTCTTTACAACAACTTTTCTTTCACCTTGGACCTATTTTAACCAACAAAAAATTGATCATTTAATTAATTCACAATTGTATTCTTATATTGTATCAACAAATATGCATGATATTGTATGAAAACGTCAATTTAATGAAATACACAAATTTATAATTGTTGTTTTATTACAAAAACTGCTGCTGAATTTTGTCTTGGAATTTATGCATGATGCGTGAATCATTATCCATGTTATCTGTGAAGTTATCTTTATGATTATTGTTATTTTGTGCAAGATCAGTAGATAATTGAAATTAAATCTTTCATGAAGATGAAATATAATGGTTTTAGATTTACTTTTTTGTCTATGAAAAGATTATCTAGCTTGATATTGATATGTTGTGCTTGCTTGATATGTTGTGCTATAACAATTGTGCTTATCAATTGATTTGATCGTGAAAATAACTGTTTAGCATTATATCTAGCTTCAAAACAAAAAAATATTGTAATATCATAAAGATACTTTAACAATAAAAAATTTCAACTTTTACATGCATCTAGACTTTTCAAAGTATTTCATATTTTTTTAAATTATTCATTTGATACATATTTAAGAAACACTTTTAATGCACAATCTAGCATTATTGAAATACAACTGTCAATAATAGTAATTTCAATAATGATAAAAGAGTTAAAGTCTATGATCCATCAACATTTTTGAATTTGTTTGCAAAATCTTCATTGGTGTTTGGAGTGATTCAAGGTGAAATGCTTTGACATAACTCTTTGACTTATGATGACAGATGATAATTCATCAGCTGTAGATTTAACGTAATTAACGTACTTAAGTAACGAGATTAACGTACTCATATCTAATATGCTTATCTATTATAAATTTCTACATGTATTCCTATGAGTGACATCAAAATACTAAATTGTAATATTATGGCAAAAATAATTTTTACAAATCTATCTACAATTCATCATGTGACAAAATCTCATGTTACAAATATCTTCAATTTCATATAATCCCTCATGTTAAATATTTAGAGTAACAATTGAATATTTTTTATTATTGATTGCAGCAATCCTACTTTCATTATTTTTGAATTTTAGAGCAAATATGACTAGCAACATTTCTCTATCGGCTTTCCAAGAAGAAAGTTAACAACATAACATCATCCGCAAACCAAATACAATGAGAAAAGCAACTTAGAGCAACTTTATCTTAAATGTCACTAGTTACATCATTTTTCACAACATTTTCACCTCATTTTGCACCCTCCACTTAAGCACATATTCCACCATCTGTTCCATAAATTAAACATACGTTTGCTGCTTTTGCACATTTCAACTTAATCTAGCTAATAGCAATCTAAATCTATGACAACATATACTCTATAAGTTCAGCAGACTTTTCAAAAAAATGTCAACTTTCTTGAGAGAATGTAAACTCTTAATAATTGAATATCTAACTGCTGCCATTCAGATAAATAGATTTCGTAAAAAAATAATTTACAAGCCAATATATAATCTCATACATCTAATGATATTTATCAAAGTAATAAAAAACAAAGATGTTGATTCTATAAAAAAATTTAAGATGGTTTTAGTCTTCAAGTGTTTTTACATTTAAACATGGATGTTTTAGTTTCAAAATTTGTAAAATTGCATCATTAAATCTAATATGGAAGCAATAAAAACTGCGTTAAGCAATCATAATTGATATTTTATTGAATATATAAAATCATTGAGATGATAATAAAATTATATGTTGTAATATTTATTATCATAATTAGATCTTTCATATACTACACTACATCAAATAATGAATTGCATGATGAAGTATGTTCATTTCAAATATCACTTTATCATATGTGTCTTTTTAGTAAGAATTTTAAAATCATATATACAAAAATCAACTCAAGTTGATGCATATGGCAAAATTATATTTTTCATAATAATCATGAGAGATTGCGCTAGAAAAATAACTTGCAAAAGTATACTTTTCATGTTTTTCTATCCTATTGTGTAATTTAATTTAGTCTCAATGTTTATATTATAACTAAATAGTGCTCTAAATAGGTGAACAATCAATTTTCTATTGTTTGTAGATTTTTTGATAAAAATAATTCAAATTTAGCATGTGTTATATCATATAATTCTCATCATGATACCATGAGGAACTGAAACTTCTAAAATATTTGGTTTCATTCTCTTTCCATGCTTTTTGCCATCAGTAGCTTTAAAATGTACAACGATGGTGATTTAATACTTTGTTATATATGTTTTGACTAGACTACAATAAATATTGGTATTAGTTATAAAGTGAACTGTTTTTGAATGAACTTACTTGTCTTGGTTGTTGGTTGGATTGCTATTTTTTTTTCTGAACTGTGCTCCTCTGTTATACTGGTATTTGTACAACATTTTTATATATATTTATATACCACTTTCTGAAAATTTAATTCCTGAAAGGAATTATATTGTGTGTATATATATGTATATAAGTTATCACTAAAACACATAAGCACTATATGTGTTAGAAGTAAAATTTAATATTCGAAAATACATTTAGTATATAAATTTATTTTGGTTTTTATGTTTTTTTGTATATATCAACCTTTCCAACTAGACTTCAAATTTCGTAATAACTCTAGAGACAATTTTTGTCGTCTCGAGTCCAAAGCTCTCTTACCCAAGAAGAAGGGTTTCTGTGCAAAAGCAAACTCTCCAAATTCAAAACCGACAATCTCTTCCGTAATATTCTAACCAGTTTTCCTCCATACATTTCTGCCCAGCCATCAGCCAAATATAATATCTACGTGACCAAATCTGGATATAATTGAATCAAAAGCATAATCCCGTCCAATTACGATCATGATTTGACTTGACGTTCGGTCTTTCCGTCACTGTGAGTGACCTAGAGAAAGAAGAGATAAACGGTGACGTAGTAAGGACTCCTCCTACCAAGAGTCTCCAGAAGTGTTCATCTTGTTCGATGAACACTTTTCGGCCAAAGGAACAGAGGAGTACTTTTCAAGTATTGTCAAGAAGTGGATTCCATCGGATGAATAGGACTGCGGCCACAGGGCATGGTACGCGTTCGACGGCGTGGCTCGATAATAAGGCTGCCTTTAATAATGCAATGGGCACCTGTGATAAGATTTTCGTTTTTGTCCCCCAATTGAGTAAAGTAAGGATGACGGGAGAAGCATAAGATGGGGTCGTCAATTTGAGTGCACTGTTCGGTTTCAAGCCAGTGCAGTGTGGAAGCCAATTGCAAGCAATTTTCAAGCCAGTGCAGTGTGCAGTAAGGAAATTTCTCCAATTGACAAGGCGGAGTAGGTTTTTTATATGTCTTGAAATTACTTCCAGTTATTTTCAGTAATTCAGGCTTGAGAATTCTTGTGTAGACAGTGTTATGTCATTGATGAGCTTTGGACTTGGTTTCTCTAGAGAATTACGTTTCAGATAGAATGATTTTATTTTTTGTTCAAAGAGCTGTGGGACTCTCGGAATGCTCTTTCGAATGACGAATATGGTGAATTAGTTCGTTGAATTTCTGCGCCAGGAGTAATGGCAATTGAGATTCGGATTTGCCTCTGTAGTAGGACAAGAGTTCCTGTTGTATCCTGCATCATGTTGAAAATTGTATGTCTCTAAGGGGAGTTTGGGATGACGGACATCAGCCGAGGTTGGATATCAGGATTGGAGCACACGCCATGGAACAGATTCTCCCGGACACGGAGAACGTTGTTTCATTGCGATATGCTGACCTTCTGGTACACTCTTTGCTTCTTCTTCTGTTTTGAAGCTCGTGTTTCAGATCGAAATTTCGCGAGCTTCTATGGCTTGCATACTGAGCGGGGAAAGTTTTCCGCAGAATAAGGACGCGGATTTGTCTGTAGACCTGGAGAATGGCCTCGGACCAGAAGGCATGGGCATCATCTCCGTAGTAGACGTAGGGCTCTCTTGAACTTTTCACTTGTCTAGTTTCAAATCTTGAGCTCAGTGTCATTCTAGTAGCAATCCTTTACTCCTGCTTTATCCAGTCCAAGTATCTAGGTTGTGTGAAATTGGTTAATAATATGGTTTAGATTCAAAGCCTCCATGCTCAAGTGAGATTGATTTTTTAATTCCTGCAGATTCCTGGGTATGGCGAATTGCGAAAGAAGCTGCTTCCACTAGTAGAGAAGTATAAAACTGTGCACAATGCCACCTGATTCCATACCATATCTTATTTCTAAAATAACACCTACGAGATTCGTGATTCTTAAAGGATTGGAGGACCTTTTTCGTGATTCTTTGACGTGGAGATCTTTAGTACTATTTTGTTTCCCTTTGTCTATTTAAATATCAATCTTTCTAATCTGTGTTGTTCGAGCAGGCTTGCACACCTTCCGGAAGAAAGTTTGAAGAAGCTGGTAGATCCTGTTAGCGGGTAGGTGCCTCGTTCTTTGTGTAGTTTTGAGTCTTTCTTAAGTTGGGTTTGCCCGTAAACATGCATGGAATAAAAGCTGTCTGGAAGACTCAAAGCTTAATAAAGTGGAGACTACTGCTCAATCTCACAAAGGCAAAGATCTATCTGTGCATGACTTCCTGTTTCTGTGACTGATGAGGATATAATTTCAAATACTGCTTTCGAAGCGTTCGCTCCCTCTAAATACTTTTGAAAGTTGCGAAAGCTATAAGCGTTTGAATCCCAGGAAATTGGATTACCATCAGTCCTGAGTACAGTAGATGACAATCATTGTGTTTACTTTTCGCGTGTGGACAGCTACAATTTCGGCTGGAGTCATGGGGCAGAAAAATTCAATGGTCAGCCTGGTGAGTTGCTTGTTGGTCAGGTTTGTGATTACGCAGGATTCTTAAGTAGAGGAACTTAAAGAGCTCTATGATAACTATGCTTTGAGGGCAGTTGATGCGTCCTTCACGAAGTCACCATTTACTTCTTTTTTTGGACGATACGTTTGTACCCAAAATATGGTTTGTCTCAGAACTCGATCAAGATCGACAACCACTTGTTTATAGAATTCCAACTATCTTGCTAAATAGCTGAAAAGCTCAAATGATTATATGCGTGGTCTTATCGCATATTTTCTTGTTACAACATAGAACGTACTTTGGCAGGTCGAGAGACTTGTGTCCTCGAGCGTAGTTTCAAATCTTTGTTATTGCCTGAGATTTGCTTGTCATTGCTCTTTAATTTTGTCCATGTGCAGATTTCATGAAGGGATCTTTCTATGCCAATATTTGCTCCGATATCCCAAATGCAGCAGACACAGAAAATATGAGGTTACACTTAGTTTTGTAACTTGAGCTTTGTAACCTCCTAAGATCTTGCAGTGTATATGTCTCTGTTTTCAATTTTACCACACCCTTTGAAGGGTTATTTTTTATTTCAACGTTGCAATATAGGTTCCTCTTGGAAATCAGTAAGCCCCGTCAATACTGGAATTTTAGAGTGACATGATCATCGTATCGGCAAAGTGCCACTAGGCCCAATTGATCAAATACCAATATTTTAACCATACCTAATTAACAGGATTGTTTCGTTTAGTTTTTCACCTAACCTCATCTTCTGTGGCTGACACACCCGAGGTATTGTTTTGCAGATACCCATCCCAATGCCGGAGCAATATCTGGCCAAGCGAGGATCTTCCAGAACTTGAACGGGGTAAGTATTCCCATATGTATGCCAAAGAGCTTCGAGTCAAAACTAGCAGTTGATGTTAAAGGGAAGATATATGTAATCTTCCCTTTAACATCAACTGCTCTCCGGTTTGAACAATGTGTTCGACAGTAAGGCGCCCACGAATTATCTCACCTGTTGCCCTTACGGGTTGTCTTTCATGTGTACTGTAAATTTCAGCCTTCAAGGAGATGGGGTCACTGATAAAGGAAGTGGGCTATTTATTGGCTTATCATTGCGACAAATTCCGTAAGTTCATTGGCCATATCTTTCTCGGCCTTGACATTGAAACTTTCTTGGTGGCGTTTGCCAGAGCATATGTTTTTAGGCGTTTTATGGTGTATTGAGCCTTCCTCGGGAATTTTATGAACAAATAAGAGGTTCATGACGGTTGGGTTGTACTTTTATTACGTCGATAATACACTTCAGCTGGGAACCTGAACTGCCTTGAATATAACTCTTCCTTTTGCAAGTTACAGTTCTCAATGACTACCACAAACTTTGTTAGTTAGCTGCTCATCCGAAGTAACAAGCAGTTCTTTGTTGCACAGGTTATGTTATGTGTCCTTCTCAGGTACTTATTTGTGTCTTACTTGCAAGGCTCCATAGGTCATACCACTGGTCGTTATGTATCCAGAGACGTCTAAACAAGCTGGAAAGGTGGGAGTTTTGGAAAGCATGTTACGCCGTTCGCAAGGGCACAAGGGCAGGCTATTACACTACTACCCGGTCGAATGGTAAACATTCAATCGTTGAATTGAAATTTGGAAGTGCTTGTATCATCTTTAGCATAAATGATATTCACGGGAAAGTTGTGGAAGTTTTACAATATATGCTACATCCTTTCTCTACCATCTTCGAACACCTTCTGGTTTCAGCAGCGGTAAGATGAAGTTTCTCACCCAGATGATTCGTGTATATTGTGAGGGAGTTAAATTGTTGACGGTAACTATCAGGCGGTATCGATCGGACAGCCGAACTCAGTGATTGACCTATGAACTTTGCAATGAACTTTGCAGTGGACATGAGCAGAACAATGCTGAAGCGCCCGTTTGGTGTGGATGGCATACCGATTTTGGCTCACTGACAGGTTCGTCTTTCCTTCATTGTAGAACCTATAGCTCTGTACACATGACAGAGAGTATTATGGAGAAAAAACTAGTGCCTGAAAACGTGAAAGCTTCTAGTGCGCTTCTTCCTGGTTAATCGTTAGTGAAAAGCACATTGTGGCTTGATTACGGCTTTCCGTTCGAATTAAGGAGCTTATCGACGAGATTACTGTCGTGTAAAAGTGGACTCTCCAGCTTTCATGTCCATATACCTTACGTGCACTACTCCATCCGATCTTCGTATTTTATTTAAATGCTTCTGGCAACGACGCCGTTTGGCAGGTCTAACAGCGGCTATGTACACAAAAGATGGTGTAGAAGTACCTTGCCCAGATCCAGAGGCTGGCCTCTACATCAAGACAAACCCCGGCCGAGTTGTCAAAGTGAGGATTATCCGTTTCCTTCTTTTTTCATCCAACGTTCTATTTACATTCACTTACGAAGGAAATATTTACAATATTTTTACACATAAACACCTTGTTCTCACCTAGGCCTATGGACTTTGTGTGATTTAACCCATCAAGTATCTCGAGGCTGACCAAGTTGTGGTTTCAGGCAGTGTTTGATGAAGATAGTCTTGCTTACCAAATAGGCGAGACAACAGAGTGGGTCTCAGGTGGTTTATTTCATGCTACGCCACATTCTGTCCAGGTATGTCCGCGTTGTGTCGTCTCACTTTTGTTCTGTAAAGTAGGAAAAGTACATGACTCTGCTCGAGGCATGTATTGAGAAGTTCTGAAGGCGGAACTTGGCAGTTGAGCTACTTAATTAGAGAATGACAACATAAGAGACTAGATTCATCTGAGAGTACAGCAAAAATTTGTGATTGTTCTGTATTCTAACATGTAGAGAAGTTTCAAAATGCAGGATTGTAAGTTTCCTGGTGACCGTTTCTTGTTTTTACAGACCCCAAAGCGAAATCACAAAGGAGTCGCGCGTAATACCCTCGCCGTGTTTATGCAACCCAGCTGGTACCTACTCCGTCATGAGCTTGTCATCTGTAGTAGTATGAATGATAGTTCTGACCCTGCAAAAGTTTTGTATCAGATGAATTGAAGCATATCAGATGTATATATGTTCAAGTTTTCATCAGACGTTGGACAACCGTTGATTGTATGTTTAAGCAATTCCTCTGTATGGCACAGGGGAGAAGTTTTGGACATCCCAGGGGAGATGAAGACGAAGGTAAGATCCATTAGTATGTTTTTGTCATCAGAGATTGTTATGAGCTGAACGAGTGCTTCGTTATGCCGTTTATCACGATAATCTTTTTTTGATGGTTGCTTCTGGTACACAGATCAATCCTTCATTGAGGCATGACGGTCTCACTTTCGGGGAGTACTCCGAGGTCACTATCCAGAACTATCTTGTGTATGGTGTCCAACCGAATGCCAATGCTATCCAAATAAATGATAATAACGATGGCGGTTCAACCTGAGATGAGCGAAGCCTTAGTACTAATTTCACGTCCTGCATCAAAGTCGATCTTGATGAAGATGACGTCCACGCAGACCTACAAGCACATTACCCGTTATCGTAAAATCGCGAACAGAACATGAACGCCCATATAAATCCGTAGAAACGTACAGCACCTTGTGACCTGTAGACTAGACATAATCAAGCAATTCTTATATTGCCCAAGTTGACCTCGCAGAGGCTTTGTTCCACAATGTCATGCCATTCCCTGTTCACAACTTTCATGCAGGCAAAACGCCGTATAATGCAAATTATGCAGACAACTCACGCATGTATGAGAGTACCTAACAACACAGCATGGTCTCTTCCTTGCTCTTCTTTTTTTGTGTGAAATAGCTCACTGGTTCGGCACTGTGATTTGGTAATGGGAGATTTCCCTCCGAGAGAAGTCTCGGGTCACCACAGTACATTGCCTACCCAGGAAATCCCTCTGTGCAAGTTTCTGAGTGGAGGGGTTGGCCTGGGTCGTCTACAACGTCATGACCGAACTGGGTTTGCAAAATAAGTTTAGTCTACAACAGAGCCACATTGTTTTACAGCCGGATAGTCAGTGAGTGTCAATCAGTGTTTACTGCAGAATCAAGTCAAATAATACACCTTCTTATGACGCTCCTTCACGTCGCCCGTCTATCATCCTTCTGGGCAACGTCAATATTAGACTTTCCAGAAAAGCTTCAAATCATTGTAGAAGCCTCACGGTTACGGATTAGATTTGCGTGTTTAATAAATCATGGGTGGGTTCGTTCCAGTGTACTAAATCTGTGTTCTGAAGGGACTAAGAAAGAAGGAACAATGTGGGAGCCAGCACTTGAAGAATCGTTGAAGGAGCGCATATGAACTGGAAACATCAACAATGGGTCTCAAAGGTTTACGGCTGACCCAGATAACTCCACTCTTGTCAGGCTCTCTGGATGATTCCTAAATTCCAGGACTGCAGTTATGAAGGTCAAATTTTGCAGACAATCTTCGATACAGCCGTAGTGGGGCGTGGAGGCAGGAGTCTATGGACAAGGGTTAGATCTGACTCCGAATTCCGCATCAACCTTGAACGCTCACCAGTGTAGAACTTCATGATCACCGGACATATCTGTCAAATTTCTTGAATCGAAACTGTAGAAGTGAAGGCGAGCATCGAAGTACGCGGTGGTTGTAACCCACCAATCCCGACGTCCTGCAAGTACATTTTCTGACCATGCGCAATGGAGGTGCAGTGTTCCAAATTTTGCACATGATTACGAGTAGGATACATCACCAATAGGGGAATGAAATCTGAACAACCCTCGAGCAAAAACCTCCTTGCTAGAACCAATAAAAGAATTCGCGTTGACAGGTAAAATGATCGACCACGAGGACCGTGATGTGCACTGTGACCATAGGGACTCATGCACTAAAGATGAAAACACACAAGACTTGAGCAACCATCAGCGTAGACTACAACCACAAGCCGGATTCGGGGCAAATGAATGGGCATTCATGATGCAAACCAGCTCCCTCTCCGAGTGGAAGCTGTATGTACAATCCGAGATATACGCACGGCTCGTCTGGAATTATAATATGCATTACGAAGGAGGTGGGAAAAGCGACTTTGCCAAGTTCTCCGGGCGGTCTCATCGTGCAGCTCTCGAGCTTCTATGCTATGATTGACCGGTGGCTCGAGCCCGAATGCCTCATCGCAGGGCGGCGTGTCTCAGTTAGTCCAGTCTTGGCAGAGCCTTCTTCAAATGGTACGTGCAGGATGTGACTTTGACTCAAGAAGGAAACCGGGCTCCGCAGCAATGGAGTCTGTCTTCTTGCGGCCTTGTTTCTAGAAGCGTCCGCGAGTCCCCGACATCCGCTGCCCGACGGTGTCTTTCGTTTGTGGCAACAGCGCGGCGTGCAGGGACGCGATGGGGTCCTCGTCACATGAAGTTCTCGGCAGGGTTGCTGCTTGCGATCTCCGTGTACCAAATTAAGGTAAAAGTGAAGACCACACCAGAAAAGGTACCAATCGAAGCAATGGAAACACGTACTTTCTTTACATGTGTCACGGTCACGATGTGTCAGCCACAGACTGGTGGCTATGTGGGTGAGCGGCAGTTATCGGACGATGTATGCTCCTGCGTTCATCCTATTGGCCAGACGTCGTCGGACGGTGTCGTTGGTTGCTTTTGGTACCGATTTTCGTTCGATCAGCAAAATCGTCCGGGACCGGTCTTGCGTGGACTGTCAACCTCTGAAACTCCCAGACACTCGGCTCCGATAATCCTCGTTGAGTGACGTCACTCGCTTCAAGTGGAATCTCTGTTTCATTGGCATGTACATCACTCACTCCACTCATTGAAGGGAACGGAAGTGGTCTTTCCGGCTGTAGAATTGAAATGGTCCCATCGACGTGATTGCCACTTTCTTCCTTTTTTGTAATATCTCAGTCTCGTCTGCGATCCTGTTCACCTGATTGCAGCGCAATTACAGGAGTTTATCGAAGGCTTCCCATAAGTCGTGGTGTGGAGTTTCACTGTTTGCGGACCGTGCACCTAAACTTGGAAGTTGCATTGGCCCATTACTCACCCTGCCATTTGGGCATCTTGGATTGTGGAAGCGAGGTCTGAGCGGTTACTGCTATGCTTTCTTTTGCCAGTGGCAATCGGGGATTCTACGTCAACTGTCTGTCGAAGACAACACATTATCAGCCTACTGCTAGCAGAGCAAGACCAGGTGCAGCACGGTATCATGTGAATCATCTGGGGGCCAAGTCAGGAAATGCTTTTGGTCTGGGGTCGAAAGGTAGCACGGTTAGCGCTAAGCGACGAACCAGAGTTGATATGAGCGCCATCGTGTGTCGGCAGATGGAAGATCGAGACTCTGATAGACTGACTAAAGGACGGAGAAGAAACATCGAGCGAGACCTTCCTTCCACGGACACGATGAGAAGTTCTCTCAGTGGTATGTACCCGCGCTCTGTCTGGGTTGTTTGGCAATTGAGTTTTCGGCGGTTGAGAACTGAATTACGCCGCTCGTTTCCCATTCGTGCTTCTTATTTTATTCATAAATGTTTTTGTGATCGTCCGTACTGCATGCAGTAGTAGTAGGCGATGATGTTTAGGTCTCGTCGCCCGTGTCGCTCTCGTGAATTCCTTGCGACTTTCTCCTTGGCTCCTCGTCACGTTTTTTGTTAATGTTTATGGCGATTATTCTTCTTGGAGTGAACATTGTACCTGGTTGGTCTCAGCTGGTGTACATCACCGGCCAGATCTGCCGAGCTCGAAGTAGACAGTCAACTCGAGGACACGATTGTTGGTGTCCGTAATAACGAGCGTCTACTATTTCATTGGATACAGTGATCATCTCACTAGCTGGTGTGCAAAGAATTCCCTCAAGAGGTTGTTTGAAGGTCTTTTAAGCTGAGACCGTTCGCTGGAGCTGACTGAATCCTTGTGTTACTCCAGATTCGCGAATGGAGGGACGGAATGGTCTCGAGATGACTCAATGGGATGAAGAAGGAGGGTCGCCAACTTCGAAGAAAACTGAGATGAAGGAGATAAAGGATTCGCTGTCGCGGAAGAAAAGGAATTGCGAGATTTTTGGAGTGGTAATGTCGCCTGACACTGTTGCCATTGCGATGGTGTACTTCGTACAAGGAGTTTTGGGTCTTTCTAGACTTGCCGTATCATTCTTCCTCAAAGATAATCTTCATCTGGATCCTGCTGAGGTATGTCCCGCTCGAGTCAAATTTCAGAGCATTTGTTTTGAGATACGCAGAGACTTGAGTACCATTTGAAAGAGAAGGATATTTTTCAAAAGGGACAAAATATCGGTTGGTATCGCCGTCCGCGCTGGGTTGTGGGTCCTGCGTAATTTCGTATTGAATTTTAGCGCGATTTCTCGCCGAGAGGACCGGATGATACTTCTCTTTTCCGCAAGCAAATGCCCCCATTTTCATTCAGACGGCACAAAAATCGGGTGCTTGACTTCTGAAAGAGAATGGAGAAAAGAGTCTGCATTTTGACTACCTGTCGGTGCTAATCGTATGTGCAGACGGCCATGTTGATTGGCGTCACTGCGTTTCCCTGGCTGATCAAACCACTCTACGGGCTCATCAGGTAAATGATAAGTAGCTGCCACGAAGTTCTTCATATACTCTGGGTGTGCTCCGTTTACTTGCTGTTGGGGCGAGCAAATAATTCTTACCTGCTTGCCCACCTCTGTACCGCTTAACTTAACGTCAAGGCATGCCTATCGATTTTCTATCGCAGTGATGGTCTACCGTTGTTTGGCTATCGACGAAGATCCTATCTGTTCTTATGTGGGCTGCTGAATGCTGCATCCTGGGCTTCTCTTGCAATGTTCGTGGACGACAAGTACGGAGCTTTGATCTCTATACTTCTAGGATCTCTGTCGGTGGCTTTCGCTGACGTCGTAAGTTGAAGTTGTCCAAATATGGTGCTCCGAATCTTGTCTTTGTTGCTGGCCTTGTCTAGTTGAGTCATTTTAAATCGCAAGGGTTCCGAGAATCTGTGGAGCAGATGATATCCCTAACTGACTTTTGGAGCGTCTAATGGTTTTGTCAATCTACAGGTAGTTGACTCGATGGTTGTAGAAAGGGCTCGCGGAGAATCACAAAATGCTTCTGGATCGCTGCAATCACTTTGTTGGGGTTCTTCATCGACGGGGGGTATAGTGAGTGCCTACTTCAGTGGCTCGCTGGTCGAGTCATATGGTGTAAGGTAGTTTCTGCTTCGCTTGAAATTCTTTCATGAGAACATAGATGTGGTCTAGGTAACACCTGCAGAGGTTGGTGAGATGAGTTTCGGCAGATGATGAGATCTACTTGGCATTTCTGTATTTATAAGACTGCGAATCAAATACCCCTGTCTTTTGTCTTCAATGTCCCTGACTGAGCAGTGCTAGTATTAAGGGACTGCGAAGAAGAATTAAACTGATAGGTAGAGGGAGGCGGAAGATCGCGAACTATTCGAGATTCTTTGTCCTGGAAGTTGTCGTAAGTGGGATATATGTTCGGTACTTCCAGTTATCAATCTAGCTCATCCACCTGTGAAGTATGTTTGCCCCATATGATAGGATATTGGGCTTTTTATCACTATGTTTTGGTTTCACCAGCTGAGCGAGGTTGTGGTTTAATGTCTCCCTCAATCTGTCAAAGTTGCTGCATTTAACCAGTTAACGGAGAGTGGTTCCGCTATTATCTCAGTGTGTAATTAGCATAGTCTCTTCCTCTTGACCTAGATGGATGACTCGCATCCGATACATGAACTCCAGATTTGTGCCTTGTCCTCGAAGATTTGACTTGATTTGAAAACTCATGGGATCAGGGTTGATCTTGGACAGGGAAAGGTTAGATTTGCGTTTTGCTTCCTCCTTGGTCTGCTTCTCTGAGTGCCCAGTTATTGCTTCTGTGATGAAATTTGCGAAGGGTTCTATCTTTCTCGCCCCGAGATTTGTGTTTCTTTGCCCTCGCTAAATCCTGCATTTGACTCGTCGATAGTTTTTCCGTTTGCCATTTCCTTTCGTGACTCCATACAGCGTTAGTACAATATAGTGGTACTTTTGAGATTACGTATTATGCAAGCTCGTTTCCACTTTAGGTGGTCTTTATTACTTTGAACTCTGGTCTCTCTCGGAAGCCCTCTTGTGTTGGTGCTGCGACCTTTTGTTGTTTGAAAGCCTCTCATTGTTCCGCTTCCAGTCTAGCTCCTTGACTGGTGTTAGTGCTGAATACAGCGGTTCCATGTGCTAATGTGGGTCCCGTAGTGTGACTTATAACTAAAGTTCTGGTTCAAGGGTAATACCTCACGTGTTCAACACATGTGCCTGCGCGGTCTTCACCCACCTAAAAAGAGAGTAGTATCTTTTTCCGTCTTAGCCAGGGAGTTTTCTTTGACCGTACTTCGATATGTCCTGATAAACTTCTATGGTGGTCCGCAGGTTTGTTTTCGGTCTAACTGCCGCACTGCCTCTGATAATTTCTGCCGTAGCTGTGCTTGTGAAAGAGGAACGAAAGACTTCATCGGTGAGGAAGTCATTGGAAAAATTAGCCCCAGAATCTTTGGAGCCGGGTTTCTTAACAAATGCGAAGTCACAACTTTGGTTCTTGTGGGAGACTGTGAAGGAGCCCAATATTTTTTTGCCTACGCTCTTTATTTTTATATGGCAAGCGACCCCCGTATCCGATACAGCGATGTTGTATTTCACGTAAGTGATTTACTAATAGATGTTAATCTCGATCCTGCTTCTTTAACATTTTACAAGCGTTGTTGCCAAATTTGAGGAATGGAGTTGTAGACATTACTGTGGTCATTTCATGTGCTCAGCATGACCTAAAATTGGATACAGCAGGCAGGTCTTCTTATCTGTGTTAGTATTTTGAGTAAGAGGTCTGCCAATATTCAGTTTCGCCCTTCAGATATCCGATGGACATCACGTTGCTGGAGCGAGTGATCTCCGTCTGACCATCGATGATAATTGGTTTAGGTGGGACTTCTTTTTTGACTGGCTTATTTTCTTTGCCATAACAGGACGAACAAGCTGGGCTTTGGGCCAGAGTTCCTTGGGCGTGTAAGGCTTGTGACGTCAATAGCTTCTCTTGCTGGAGTTACGATCTACAATCAACTGCTGAAGGAGGTGTCGATGAGGAAGATGTTTTTCTGGACGACAATTCTTGGATCGGTCATTGGCCTATCACAAGTAAATGATACTTATCTAGCCCGAAATTAGTTTCGGTTGCCCTCATGAGATAGTTGTTACTTGGACTTCGTTTATGGTGGGCATTTCTACATAACTTGGGCTCTTCTTCGTCGTTAGCATATTAAGCTTGTCTTCGGACTGCAGGTAATTCTTGTCACTGGCTGGAACCGGGATGTTGGAATCAGTGATGAATGGTTTGCAGTAGGCGACTCTTTGGTGGGGACTGTTCTTGGACAGGTATGCTGGATGACTAACAACGCACTCAGCTCCTAAGAAGCGATATCTTTGCGTAAAAAAGATCTGAATACTGTCTGCAAGTTGTGAAGCCAAGTTGGAGGATGGCAACTGGTTCCACAATTGTGCTTCGTGACTATTAGTGTGTCGTTGCCTGAAAGGTCAAACAGTATTCTAACAGAGTACTGACTGGTGCAGGTCTCGTTCATGCCTGTTCTTGTCCTTGCGGCAAGGCTTTGTCCACCTGGCGTGGAGGCCACACTTTTCGCAGCTCTGATGTCGATTAGCAACGGGGGTGGTGTCGTTGGAGGTGTTCTCGGTGCCTGGCTCACTGAGGTCTTAGGCGTTACAAGTGAAAATTTTGACAACCTGGCGATGTTGGTAGTCTTATGCAATGTGACTTCGCTCATTCCTTTGCCTTTCTTAGGTTTGTTGCCTTCCGAAGAACAGCTCGCGGCTGCCGTCGAAAAGGCAGAAAATGCCCGGGACGTTGACCCAAAGGCCGAGTGACAGACCAAAAAGTTGAATGCATCACAAGATGATATATTTTATATGGTGTCGTCAGGCACTGCGTTCGATCCTAACCTTGTACAAACGAGTCATCTGAAGCTGAAGCGTAACCCCTTTAACACGCGAGGGGATTCAACCTTCATGGTGACTACTGTCAAAAGACAGGCACTGTCGATCAGTCTCTTTATACACCAGTGTGAGCACATTTTTTATCTGTTGTAGTTAAGATTCCATTCTCCAGTGTAGAAGCCGAATCCTACTCCACCAAGTTCATTATCACTGTTGATACTGAATGGAAGGCTATTGACTACAAGTGAAGGGGCATGTTAGCGGTTTAGCATATGTACAGGTTGTACATCTCTATGTACACAATTTAGACAGTAGAAGTAAAATCGAGACCACTCAAAACACCTCTTTGTTCAGCAAGATGGATGAAGATGTCAGATTCTGTTGGTCACTGGCATCGCTTTTCTAAACAATGTGAAGATGGAAGGGTAAAACAGAATCGTCTTTGCGGATATAAATGTATGGCACTTTGGGTTTCTTGTTAAGAACATCAACGTAAGAACCAAGGTGGCAACCTTTCAGACATTCGTATTTGACTAAGTCATTAGTATTCTTCAGCACCTGCAGAAAAGATTGGCACCTTGAAGAGGACGAAAAGGTAGGATGAGCGTAAGGTACGACCAGCATAAGTAGAACGAACTTGAATCGCGGATTATGAAAATGACTCTAATGGATAGAGATAATCACTTACGTTTGACAGTCTTTACACATTCCTCTGTTATGGTGTAATATAGTATATGGAGATAGATAACTGGAACATAAATACAGCCTGTATTTATGTTCAATGCCTGTGTTATACAGGCAATATATATTACATTATAATAAAATGATTGATTATTTACTATTATCTTTGTTTTATTTATTTTGGTTTTAATTAACAGGCAATTTTTTAAAACGCAAGTTAAAGATATTAAATTTATGAAAGTTGTCAAGTGACAACTTCTCCACTTTGAGTAACAAAGATTGAAAGTATTCTAAAGGTAGGCTTTAAGCACCATTAAATTATACTTACAATCTCTGAATTAAAAATATTAGCAATATTACAATTATTACAAGTGATGTATCTTTAGCACAAGCTTATCAAACACAGTTTACATGTGTTTGAAAATAAAAACTTTTGAAGTGAATTTTTTTATAAATATATTATTTATATTGATGTTTTTTTATCTGATTATTAATCTTGAAATAAAATTCATAAAAATAATAGAATCAGGTTTTGAATATTGATTCATTGTGATACAATCATATACAATGAAGTGATAAGTATTTAATAGTTTGATGATTTAGATCAAAAAATGTTGATTTTTAAAAATATGCCTTCATTGGTTACTTCAAGGATGGTTTTTGAATAAAAAACAAATGTATTGATACTTTTTAGTCAATAAAATTTGATGTTACAAATATTTAACAGCTTAACAATAAACTATAAATAAGAATTTATATCACATAAAATTGATCAATGATTATATTCGTTATTTATATAAAGATTATCTTGGTATGTGAATATATATGTTTATATAAATAGATTAATCTACATATTTATTTGAACATTTTATGAGATTGAAGTTATATGAAGTGGAGATAATGTTAGTACCAATATCAATATTGAAAACTAAATTAGATTTTCAAAATTTAATTTTTAAGAATGTGATTATGATGAAAAGAAATTAGTGGATACAATTACAAAATTGAATCTAAAATTTGATTGAATTAAATTTTCATATGTATCTTAATGTGAAAGTATTAATTATCATACATCAAATCATATTTTAAAAACATCGAATATCAATTGCAGAATAGTAGATTAAAGCAACGTGAGTTATTATGTTTGATGTAGAAATGTTGTATGTTGTGATGCAATATATATGAGCACAACATTTTTTATAAAAACAATGACAATTCATCGTGTTCATGCTTGGAAAACAATAGTTAAGCATAGAACACTATTCTAATATCAAATTTATTAATATCCAAAAATATTATCATGATTGTAAAATCAAGATGTGAGTCAATCAAATTTTTAAATTCAAAAAAATTTAATATAAAAATAAAAATGTATATTTCAAAGACAAAATATTTCAAACAAGTTTTGAATCTAGGTGAATTTTTAGATATATATGTTTTTAGGAGAATTTTTATTTATATGCAAGTTAAAAAATTCATTTTTTTCAAAATTTTATGCTATCTTGCAGTTTCTAATATCAAAAAAAAAAGATATGAATATATTAAAGGATATAAAAATGAATTAAATGATATAAAAATTGATACACTTATAAAAAAAATTATTTGATTGAAATTCAATATTTTAAAATTGATAATAGTAAAGAAATTTATAATCTCAAAAATAAAAAATTTTACTAATCTCAAAATATATTTTCTTCTGAAAAATCGATGATTGCTAACTAAAATGAGGTTGCACAAAATTATTATTTTAGATTTTTTAAGATGTAACATATAAATTTTATAATATCATTAATTATTAAAATAATATTTTCAAAAATAAAAATTTAATTGAATAAATTTAATAACTTATATATTTTTCATATATATTTATAATATAAAATAAATTTATAAAAATTTGACATAAAGCTGAAGATAGTAAAGTTGAAACACAATAAATTTGTCAAATTTTGATTCAAAATTCATATATTTACAAATTACATAGAATCAAAATCAAAATAATTTTTATTAATATTTGATCTTCACATAGTTTTAATCAGAAAAAAAATTTATTATCACGAAATATAGATTGATATTTTATTTGAAGATCAAGATGAATTTGGATTTAATTTTGAAAGATATTGACATATGAGTTATGTGGGAAATAATGTATGAATATTTAATTCAGAATTATTGGGAAATATAACTTGATCTAAAAAATAATTGTAATATGGAGTTAATATATAATTTTTTATGCATTTGATTGAGAGTCTAAGATTTCATTCATAATTTTAACTTGAATAAACTTTGAATTTGATATTATAAGTATGTAACAAGCTTAGACCACAAACTTTAATGATGATAAGAATCTAAGGAATGAAGAATGATTTTAAAATGCAATGAAGATTTTATCTAGCTAGAATCATGATAATACTTACATGACAACACATGCATGATAATGAGTTGTTTTGTATAATAAAATAAAACATGATATGAAATTAGAAAATAAATCAATATATAGTCAATTTGCATGAAAATTCCTAATAATACATAGTTTGATAGAGAACTATGTAAAGGTTGAAGTGTTGGAAAGTAAGAAAACTTAGGTATTCATACAAAGATAAAAATCAAATAACGTTTGAGCTCATATGTTATGATGAGTGACAGCAAGTGAATAAAATATGGGTTATAAATTTCAAGATATTACTTTGAATAATGATAGGATTTCAAAGCATATGAATTTTGTTTCTATATTTAAAGTTAGACATGTTTGAGGTTATTCAAAGTTGAAAAGTTTTAGTTGAAAGTATAGTAGTTTTAATTATTGAAAAGCTTAATATGATGAATAGTTATGAATATGAAATCACCAAATTTTTGCTATGAGCTTCTCATACTAGAATAAACAATAAGTTCATCATAGACTATTTCATAAATAAAAGTTTGAAAAAAGAAGTAAAATGTATTACTATATTATCTTGTGTATCAAAAAAATAATCCAAAAAAGCAATCAATACAACAATTTTTTTAATTCTCCGAGCTCAATCTACTTCATTAGCTTACCAGGTAACATTCATGATATGTAGTTATCAAAAAATCAAAGTCATACATATAATATAAGTCATCAAATAACATAAATGATGTGGAATGATTAAAAGTTGAAGCCATCACGTTCAAAAGTATTGGATTGTTTAACACATGTAGTATAAGCAATAAACATAGGAGTAAGCTGAATCTTATGTTAAAATGACAATATTAGAAGCTAAAACCTCATATGATAAAACTATCAAGTGAGTTTGGTTGCTAGATTTGGATGAAAAAAACGAGAAAGCCAATCTATATTGTATATGTTTTTTTGCAATGAAATAGTGATTTAGAAAAAGATTTCCAATAAAAATATGATAAATTGAAATCATCATATGAAAGCAAAAAAAGCCAATATTTGCAAAAGCAAACTACGTTCAATGACATATAATAATAGTCAAATGGCAGACTAATTGTATCAAAAATTCAATAAAAAAACTCATTAGGAAGTATAGTTTGCCGAGATTTGCTATCTTGAATTTGGAAGTTTTTTATAATAAAGTGTGGAAAGTTCTATTACAGTTGCACTCGCCTATGCATAAAATCAATGTGCAAAAATATTTGTATTTGATACATGAAATATTTTTGAATATAGAAGTGTTGAGAATATAGATGTGTATGTATAATTTTGGTATTATACACATGATATTACACTTTTGTATTATACAACATTTTCAAACCATAGGGTATAATGTATAATAAAAAATCTGTTATCCGATTATCTGACGTGTGAGATTTCATAGTATTAGTATTTGGATTTGACCTCCAATATCAAATTTTTACATGAGATTGTCTAAATGCTTTCTTTGGAATTTAAAGAAAGCTTATAGTATCAAAATTACATCCAAGATCGAAACCGCACCCTAGCAATGAGTGGATGAAATGTGATCATGCGACTTGTATGCAATCATGGAACTGCAAACAAGTGGATGTTGTATTATTGTAGTCGTGTTTAAGTTATTTTTTCTTAGAATTGTGATTTTTCATTTCTTTAAGTTAATCCAGCACATACGCAAGTAATGCTGCAAGTTTCATAGTCGAGAGTGTTCATTGTTTTAGGCTTCAAAAGACAAGTATTTCATGACTAGTGCTAGTCTTGTTGTGAATGGAGAAGTAACGCATGCTTATGCTACATCCAAATGAAACTAACTACCTATCGGAGTAATATCATATTCATTTCATATAAAAAAAAAAAGAATTTTTTACATGCCAAACTCAAAATCAGCAAAAGTGAACAGAAAAGCTTGTATCACAAGAATATTGTGTTCAAGTTACTTGTTTGAGATGATTTACCATTTCTTGAAGCACATCCAACACATGCGTAGTATAGTGCTACCAGTTTCATAGCGGAAAAAATTCATTGTTTTTGGCTTTGAAAGACAACTCTGTGATGTCGAATACCAATCTTATTGTGAATGAGAACTAATGTTTGCTTATGTTACATCCGAGTGAAATTGACTATCTACACAAGAAATTACGTATCTATTTTACACACAATAGAAAGAAGTCTCTACATGTCAACGTCAAAGTTAGCAAAAGTAAATATATAAGGTTGTATCACAAGAATATTGTGTTTTACTAAGAATAATAACACTCTAATCAAAACAAGAAGCCAAAAATGTAATTTGGAAAAAGTTTGGAGCTTTTTACAAGCAATATGATTCCTTATCAATGTATAGCAAGTGTTCCGTTTGCAACAAAATGTTGATTGATGTATAAGATTGCATGTGCGATTAGTATGTCAGATGTAAGAAGCGAGCACGTTCCATAGGCCAATTGGATGCAGAATTTTAACCATCTAAAAAGTAGATGTTACAATTAATTGTTAATTTGTTGGTCCCTACGAGTAGCAATTGAAACATATCGATGTCTTCAAATGATTCTAAAGACGTTTTTTCTTGGCGGTCGAAAGCAATTTGATTTTTTAAGAAGTACAAATAATAGAAGTTTGATACATTATTTGCATGAGCTATTTATCACACGGTTATGTCATTTGTGACATTTGAACATCCAGCATGGAAGTTGTTCTTCAAGTTGCTTTGTGCTTGCTTTCAACTTCCTTCATCACAAACTATTGGTGATCAATTGATGCAAAATATAATTATATGTGATGAATGGAGTTCTTTTTACACTTAGTAAGGTGTTGTTGATCTTATATAGAATAATGTCATGAATACGCAAGGTAAACAAGTGATCAACTTGCTAGCTTGTTCATCAATTGCAATATTCTAGGAATATTTTACAATAAAGTCCTGTGAAGAGGCTACAGTGAATTTGTTGGAGTAAGGTTTTGGATTGCAAATTTCGCATTTAAAAAATTATTTGTAAGCATCTTATTGATTTTGTTTTATTGAAAAACATCAAGAAACAACACGCAGAAAGAAGTATTGACCAGTAAACATTTTGTAAATACACCAATAATGTGCTTTTGTAGTGATTCATCAAGCGTATTGGTTAACCTATGCAAGGAATGTCTTAAATCAAAAGAATTCATATTTACCTACAACTATGCATCCCATGTCGTTCACAAACTTTGCATAGATTTATGCAAATAGTTTCTACAAGTCAATTGCAATTTGAAATATATCATGTATATGATCAAGACATTACTGTTGTTCGACAAGTTGTGCATGAAGAAATATTGGAAGATGTATGTGACCATATTCTCTATAAAGATCTAATGGGATATTGTCTGTTGTGTCATCCAACAAGCCAACACGGTTAAATTGACATGTGCATCGTTGCAAGATTAGATATTTAACTTAGATTCAAACATTGATATATGCAACAAACTGAAAACTTTGATCACATATTAGTCTTATTGGAAATGCATATTTTCGATGGAGGCACTATTTAAGATGATTTGATCATGTTTAACATTTTTACAAGAAGACAGAGTGACATTTTCTACTATGTATGCCAACTTGGTGTTGATTAAATTTCACATCAATACACTCAATTTCGCTGTGATGAACGCGAAATTGAGTGATAATGACATTGATAAGATTGTAACAATGTTTAATCATTGCTTTTTGACAATTTATGCGAAGATATATTCTCTAACATTTATAATTCATCCATTATTCACACCCATTCGCATTGGGATTGTGTCAAAATCAATAAAATCTTCCATCAACTAGTAGTCAAAAGCCTTACTCATGCGTCTTGCAAATGATGAAGATGATCTCCGGCAATTTTTTTTGTGGAAATTTTGCCACTTTCATTGTTTGTCAAAAGTACAACGATGATGATTTTAGCAACATCACATTCAAACTGTCTTATTTGTGGACTTGATGTGATGATCATTACTACGCTTCATGAAAGATGTTCTATCTACATTGCAGAAGAATCCGAAAAGTACAAACACAAGATCGAGACAAGGTACTGCCATTCTATTCAATTCCAAACAACTCGATAGTCAAAATCTCCACAAATTTTTGCAAGTGGTTGCAATATCTATGACTTGACATTGGAGGTAAATCCGAACTTGAAAGTAATGAGAATGGTGGTATCATTGATGAGTTTGATCTCGTTGACATAATCAGAATGCATGATGAATATATCTTAGAGAAAGAGTAGATGGACTAGGGTAAAATCTTTGAGGTAGTATCAACTCTTAGTGTTGTATTACACTGTGTTATACAACATATTCAAAAATTCCAATTATACATACCTAATGTATGATGTGTTCTATTATTCGATAACCTAATAGAACATATCAGATATTTCACGGTTATTGTAAGAACTTCGTCGTAGAGTCATGCTCTACATTTTGCAAAATCCAAGATACCAATTCTTATTAAAAAACAGTACCATACGTGACAAGTTTGGAGGTAATTTGCCACCATACTTACTTTATCGGGTAGACAAAAGTAGAACACAAGCTTCCGCTCCATACAAACTTGGAGCGGAAGCTTTCGGGGTTGAAAATAGTCAAAGATTGTGGGGAGCTAGAGAGGATAAATTTACCACGACGAGCAGGGGCACGTGTCCTCCAATGAATCCTACGATGGACAGCGAACGCAAGAGAAGGAAGACTCGGAAAATCGGCCGCTCTCAAGATAGTTCACCTGAAGCCAATATCCAGCGAACGGCGAGCAGCGAACGCTTTGGAAGGAGGAGGAAGATCTTCAGCAGCGGACGACGTGATGAGTTTGAATCGGGCGCTGGGTCAAGTAGTGAGCGCCAAATAGCGACGGTCTCAATGTCGAGAGTCCTGCGGGCTGAAGCTGAAGCTGGACTAGGGTTTTGCCAGCGGGCAGCGCGGGCTCGCCAGACCTGCCCGTCGCGGGCTCGCTGGTAAATGTTCCAGTGATCCCGCCCGCCCGTCCGGTCGCCCGGCGCTCGCCCGCCCGCCAGTCCGTTCGCTGGTTCGCTCGTCAAACGCTAGGTCGCTGCCGCAGCTGCGCTCCGGTCGACGACGACGTTGTTGTTGGCTTCAGAGAGACGCAGAGCCGAAGAAGAGAGGCCGTGCAACAGCTCGGTATCTTTGATTTTCTTCTTCCCAGCCAGCGTCGGAAGGGACACGAGGTACTCCGCGTTCTTCACCCCGCACAGCGGCAGCGTTCGCTCTGGATAGGAAGAAGAGGAGAAGAAGGAAGAGAGGGAGAGAAGAGACCTGACCTGACCCGAGCGGAGGACGGAGAGGACTGTTAGTGTAAGAGTTAACAGATTGCAAGAGTGGTACATTAGGCTGGTATTTGATTGCGTGAAAGTCGTAGGAAGCGTCGATCCTGCTTAGCGATTTCAAATACCTTGTCAGCGGTTTGCGCAAGAGTGCATTTGGGGCGTGCAGTGCGCGGCCGTGTCGCTGATAATCTTGGGTTTGGGTGGGGGTGGCGGGGTTTGCGCGTTACAGGTATTGAGGACTCGAGGAAGGAGGGAGAGTCAGGGAGAGTGAGTGAGGGAGGGAGGAGGAGGAGAGCGGAGAGCTTGGCGGTTGGCTTGCTTGGAGGGAGAGCGAGTCGATTTTCGAGAGAGGCGGGCGCGAGCTCGAAGGTGGTTAGATTATAGCAGTTGCTTAGGGTTCACAGGAAGGAAACAGGGAGGTAGTGTGGTGGTGGTGGTTCTTGCGTGGCTGTCGAGATTCGATTTGAGTGCTGAGCTTTCTTGTCAAGAACTACCTGCGCCTCCGGCTTCCTTTTTCGTTGAGAATCCAGGTTTCCACTGTCGCTTTCAATGGGAGAGGCCAAGGAAGGAGACACCTACCAAGAGGAGCTTCTGGATTACGATGAGGAAGACCTAGAGACAGCCCCTGAGGCAGTCGCAGCGAAAGGAACCGGAGAGACCGTTAAAAAGTGAGTTCGACCCTGCTTTTGCATGCGTGTTGCAGACTTGTTCGCGTCGTTTTTGGGTGCGCATATTATCTTGGGTACAGCTCGTATCAGAGCCCACGCTGTTGATGTAGGTTTTTGGCATTTCTGTGGAAAGCGGGTAGCGCAGTGGTGACGTCGGACGGTCTTAACACCGGAAGGCTTACATGTGTTACTTTTACCAAGCTGTAGACTGCTTGAGTTTAGCTGTATGTCTTGCATCTGCAACCTGCTGCTCGTCAAGAGCTCTCTTTGAATATGTAAAATGCTCATCTTTGTTCGTTTTTTCCGCTTCGAGCAGAGGCATTCGCGTGCTCTCGAGGTGGTCATCTACGTGTAGAGTGTCTGTAGCTCTTGAGCCTGAGTAGCGCTTAGATTTGTTTTGCTTGGTATTTTTTTGATCGCTTGGAATACTGGGAAGAATGAAAGAGTAGTGTCGCAGCATATGAGCTAGTTCATGTCGCTCTCAAAGCATTGAGAAAAATGTACACATCTCCTCGGTCTACAACCAGATTTTAAAAAGATATCGCTTTCTGCCTCGCAACTGAAATATGTCGAGTTTTGTTGAACTTATGATTTTACACCTTATGCAACAGTGTCTAAACGTATGTCCTATTGTTGGGCATTTCATCGACTTAGTCAGTAAATTTCTCTTTCCTTGAACGTTACTTGTCAAATATTGAGGGGTTTTACACGTCGTTTGTGCAGGGGATACGTGGGAATTCATAGTTCGGGATTTAGAGATTTCCTTCTGAAACCTGAACTTCTCCGTGCCATTGTGGATTGTGGATTTGAACATCCATCTGAAGGTAGCACTTCTCATTTTACCACGCCCTTTATTTCATTTCCTCTTGAAAGGTCTGTCGGGAAAACTGCGTCTAACAAACAATTTGCAAGCTTCGGAGGAAAATAGTTGGTATCAGTCTTCTCAACCTTTAGCTTCCTGTACATGAACACATACGAGACAATTTAGATGCAATATTGTAGAACCACGTTATGTTATTCGATGTAATGGAGGGCTGGACCAAACGCGCGACGGAGCATGCTCCCCTGAGCGAAGGTGCTTTGATGGTAACCGTCTCGTCTTCAAGGTGACGTCGATGGTGCATGCTCAGCCGTAAATATCCTGAAGACTCGCAAGGAAATTTTGATTGAAGGCAGAAGCTAGTAGGTCCGTCTTAGTGATCAAATCTCCTTTCTCGGAGTTAGAAATCCACACTAACGTCTTTCATTTTGGTACAGGTAAATATCTCGCAGGATTCAATTATCTCGCCCACCGCGTGTGTTTGAAGCAAATCCAATCGTTTACAGGTTTTTCAACTTCTTACGTCTAGGCTAACAAACATTTGCGCATGGGCCGAGCAGTTCAACACGAATGTATACCACAGGCCATCCTTGGTATGGACGTCATTTGCCAAGCGAAGTCAGGAATGGGAAAGACCGCGGTGTTTGTATTATCCACCCTTCAGCAGATCGAGCCAGTACCAGGCCAAGTTGCTGCTTTAGTATTATGTCACACTCGTGAATTAGCGTACCAGGTATTTTTTAATTCCGGTTCAGTCAGTTGTTTTACTCGTCAGTGGAGCAGTCGATGCTATCTTAAATGTTGGTTGATACTTGCGTGGCATCTCGATGGCCTCAACATGGACCTTGTTGTCCGCATCTCAAGGATGATGGATTCGGGTTATCTGCCCTCACTTCTGTAGTTTCGATTGGACTTCCTCGGTGCAGTTTCTGAAAGTTTCACTTATCTGAATGTAGATTTGCCACGAGTTCGAGAGGTTCAGTACCTACCTCCCAGACATCAAGGTGGCTGTCTTTTATGGCGGTGTCAACATCAAGACCCACAAGGATCTTCTAAAGAATGAGTGTCCACACATTGTTGTGGGAACACCCGGGCGCATCTTAGCCTTAACCAGGGACAAGGATCTGAGTCTCAAAAGCGTGAGACACTTCATCCTGGACGAGTGTGACAAGATGCTGGAGTCTTTGGGTATGCAATACAACCTTCCGAGCTTACCCCTTTTTCAATAGTAAGGCTGTCGAGATAGCTGGATGGATAGCTCTTAGCTTTTCCTTCCTGGCTTTGATGAAGTGTGGTGGTGTTTATCGAAGGTTAGTCATTCGACGAAGTTTTGGTTTTTGTTGTCGAAGTATGGAGTGACTATCGCATATTGATTCTGGTACCTCTAACGCGAGTTGTATTGTAGACATGCGGAAGGATGTACAGGAAATTTTCAAGCTGACACCCCATGACAAGCAAGTCATGATGTTTTCGGCTACTCTCAGCAAAGAGATCCGTCCAGTCTGCAAGAGATTTATGCAAGATGTAATGTTCCGTGGCCAATATATCTCTCCAATCACTCTTGAAGGGCACTTGCTTAAACTCATGGTGATGGCTGCCGGATAGTGGATGAATGGATTGGTGCTACTTCTGCTCTTTATCTAATGGGGCACCCAGCGATCTGGAACTCCCCTTTTTGGCTTATGGATATGAGAGTTGGACTTGGGGTCGGCACATATGTGGAAGCAACAGTGCTGTAGTTGGGGAATTCAAGCACAGATTTGTTCGGAGAGATGCGATCGTAGTAAATAGTGCATTTTCCTCTAAAGTTTAGTTTTTGGTTTGTCCCCAAAGACTCTGCATTCGATTCGAAACCGGGATCACAGCCCTTCTGCCGTCTTTATTGATACTTTAATGTCAAGGAAATATTGGAAGATTATCACACGAATTGTGAATTTGCTACTCTGACTGCAATGACAAGAGCTGTTTTTTAGTAACCAGTCACGTGGCCTCACTACGGCCATACCTCAGAGTAGTTCTTGTCTCCAACTGCAAGCTTGGAGGTGTGGTCCAGAAAAGACAGTTCTCAGACAGTCGTACTTCCTACTTGTGTGCACTGCGCATACGGAGGAAGATCTGCCTTCATGGGCAAATGGGGAACATGATACGGACATCCTTTGTGGCTCATGCAGTAGCCGAATGTAATTACAGAGACACAGTTATGTTGAGGACATGCAGGAATCTTCTATGTGATGTGTTCCAAGCTTTCAACAAGATATGTGGTGCTTTACTTTGGAACAACGGGGAAGCAAGTGCCGTGTCGCTGCGCGGCTCCTTGTACCTATAGCAGGCGATATTCCCTCACCCCTTTGTACCTGGCGTTGTTTCCATTTACAGCCTATGGAGATTTATGTCGACGACGAGGCGAAGTTGACACTGCACGGTCTAGTGCAGGTATTTCTTGTCTTTCTACGTAATGTGATTCCGTGTGTTTTTGTCCAAGCATGATGAATCAACACTTTAGGTTTGACTTCATTATTGTTTTGTCTGCTTTGTTTTCACAACATTTCCGTATTGTGCGTGTATCAGCACTACATCAAGCTAAGCGAAGTGGAGAAGAACAGGAAGCTGAACGACTTGCTGGACGCCCTCGACTTCAACCAGGTGGTCATTTTCGTGAAGAGTGTTAGCCGAGCTGCAGAGCTGAACAAGTTGTTGGTGGAGTGCAACTTTCCATCCATCTGCATTCACTCGGGAATGTCACAAGAAGAAAGGTCAGCTGCAAACATTGACTCGCTGGTTGCACAGCATCTCTGCATCGGTGTCAAGACAATCAGAAAACACGACGATTGGGATGCATCCAGTCTGCTAATATATTCGTTATACTATCGTTATGGGCAGGTTGACAAGGTACAAGGGTTTCAAAGAAGGACACAAGCGTATTCTTGTAGCCACAGATTTAGTCGGAAGGGGAATCGATATCGAGCGGGTCAATATTGTCATTAACTACGATATGCCAGACTCTGCCGACACCTACTTGCATAGAGTATGTATCGCGTGTTTCTTACATGGACTTCGTCTCTTCAACTTGGCACTGTTACCTACGTCGCTTATGTCAAATATATGTTCAACCCACCGACTCGTAATTGCGTTCTTTTACGTTCTGTTTTTCTGACAATCTTTGTTTTTCCGCGTTCAGGTTGGAAGAGCGGGGAGATTTGGTACGAAAGGTCTTGCCATCACCTTCGTTGCATCCGCCTCGGACTCTGACGTACTCAACCAGGTACTTGCTGCTCATCTGATATATATCACACATCTGGTGCTTAGTCGTCATGTATCCGCATGCATGTTGCACTCATGTTGGAAGATCGCCGTTTTCTTGACTACATCACGTTCTCTGTGAGCTCTATCTACTTTATCTGATATTAATCGAGGACTGTGGCAGGTCCAAGAGCGATTCGAGGTGGACATTAAGGAACTGCCCGAACAGATTGATACCTCGACCTACAGTAAGTTTTTCACATGTCTTGGTCATCATTTGTTGGCTTTCTACTTCAAATCATGTGTTATTCCGTCTTGCATGGTGGATGTGCCGCTATTGGTGTTTCCAGTGCGTCAATCTTTTTATTTCTGGTTATAGTTGTGTTATAGACGTTTATATACAACTTCAGTTTCTATCCTAATCATGGTGTGGCATATTTTTTGTTTTGCAGTGCCTTCATAGGATACACGAGAAAGGAAGCACAGGTTAATTAAGGAGTGACTGCAGATTACAATGTAAAATGGCAAGAGTTGTAGCATGGAAGAGATATGAATTAGTTGGAGTGCAAGCTTTTGGTGAGGTTACGAAGTTTTGTCCTCACATTAGCATTTTCCAAGTGCATCGGTAGAACCGGTCTTACTCATTGAGTTCCAGTAGCGCTCTTGATCCTTCTTAGCAAGGGCTGCGGATGATTTTCAAGGAGACATTGGATTAGGGGGTATTTGCAGCCCAGATGCTGCAAGGGATCAATCTAAGTGTGCAGAGTGCACGTAGATCCAGAATAGAGTGGTACAACGGTATACAGAAAGTTCGAATTTTCGTAATTGTCTTTTTAACATCACCAAAATTTCTTTACTATGCTCTGGTGTATCTTGAATGAGTGATTGTGCTTCACCGGGAATCGGTTAATGTACCGATTTGCACCAATTGTTTAGGATGTATTCTGTAAATTGAAGTCTATATCAATCGGCTATATGATGAAATATTTATTTAATGAGGATATTTGGGCAATATCTAAGTTTAAAGTGTGAAGATTTTGTTTGGCTTGTAAGTTTGAAGTAGACACCCCAATAATAGGCAGCATCATACTCCAGGTTGACGGATAAAGGTGTTGACTCTCGTCAACATGTTAATGCTTCGACACTACGTATGTATAAACTTTACACAGGAGGTGAAAACTCCTGTCGTCGTAACGTAAAGCCAAGTATCTAGAAGGCTGGAGTATTGTATCGTGGAGCCCGACACTGATTTGAGGAACAGAAGACTGGCTGTTGAAGTCTAGCATATATCCAATGCCGAAGATGTATCTAGATGTATATTGCTGATACATCTAACACGCTGTTGTGCGCCAGAACCTTGTCAGTTCACATTTTTTTGACGCCACCGCCTGTAATCATGTAGGGGTCAGTACTCGTACAAGGCGAGGTTTCAACAACGAGTCTCATATGACCCGAAGTCCTCTTTCTCACGAAGATTGTTGTTTGAAGTACAAGTTCCTTCAGGGTGTAACTGGAATGTGGGAAGTCGAGTAAAACAAATTGACAGTTCGAAACGGAGACTATATCGCTCAAACTGGTCCGGACTTTGAAATCTTTGAGGTCGCCACAAGTGAAAGTCAACCCATCAATAGCAGGGGAGAAATTTTGTTGCTGAGAACTGATACTCGCAGCTGAAGCTACAATATTCTTCCTCAATTTCACCGTATCCAACCTTTATTGAAGTGGCGCATCGCATAAACAATATACTTACACAGGAATCCACGGTGGGAGTAGAGATGGTATGAGTCAGCCTCGAGATGTCGCTACTGTTGATGATCTTCCGTAAGAATCAGTCCTTTGATGTGATTTCTGTTCCTGCCAGTGGGTACACATGAGTCCCTGTTGCTGTCATGATGAATCTTCATGCTATCTCGAAGCTACTTGACCACAAATAGCCTACCTGGTTTGTTGGGACCCCTTAGATGCATTGGGACATATTTCCCATCGTGATCTTATTGGCTTCTAGCCCCGTGTTAACAGTTTGGTTACATCCATGTTATACTTGATGGGGTCTTCCCATCCTTTCCAGCAATGTTTCTTGGTCTCCCTTTTTCCCAAAAAAAGCACTAATAGCTGACAAGGTCTAACAGGGGTCCACCATCCTTGCAGTTCTTTTAGGTGTTCTGTATTGACAAAACCCTTCCTCTGTACCCCACAGGATTCACTCATCAATCATGCAGGAGATCAGGACAATTGGAAGAGTTCCGGTGAACACATGAACTTCTCCATCCATGTCGTCTAGTGAGAGAGGATCGGAATTGAACTATTGTTGGAGGTATTCACGATAAGATTCCATCGATGCATAATTACTGCTCAGTTTTAAGCGTTACTATTAGTCTGATCCATTCCCAGGGGGCCAAGTTATTTAGCCAAAAGCTTGGGAATACTCGATCCTTAACTCTAAAATAGGCTACTGAATCAACCATGTCATTCATTAAAGAGCCTTCCTTTTTGTCTGACCTTGTTCACTTACAACGGTGCTTGCATAGAATCTGTAAAGTGTGTATCAAAGCTAGCTTCAGGTTCAGAATTCCTGAGCTCTCCGTTGGCTTCATCTATCAGTGGCCACACTAGGGATTTCCGAAGTGTAACAATACGGGCTTTTACCTTCAATAATGACCTCGTTTTAATGTCACTAGTACGAGGAGGTCACTACTACAAAGCAGGAATAGACATTATCTCCTCTAGACATACATAATCCTAAAACCCAAGTGAAGGAGACATTCATATTCTTTTGGAGTACCTAATCCAAACCCTAATCTGTATGAGAACTAGCGAGCAACCTTTGTGATTGTGTGTGGAGGTCTATCTACTACCCGAGATTCTTGATTTTCAAATTTGATAACCAAGAATTTGGAAGTAATCTAGATTATCTTGGATCCATCTTCGGCACTGATTCCCATAGAGTTTATACCGAATCTAGTGGTGGGCTAATGGGACAGTCGAGTCTAAATCCAAGCTCTGGACCTTAACTTTACATTGAAGTTTTGAAGACCAAAGCATATTCTTCTCCGTATATGAATTTAGAGATCTACACTAAGCATTTTAATATGTATTATACAATAAATGTCATTAATTGTATAAAATAGATGGTAATGGTAAATAGATCAAAAATCTAAAAACCACAAAACAAGTCATTTATTCACCACCGAGGAGAGAACTCTAAAGAACCCCCTAGCTAGGATCTAGAGGACTAGAACATAACATATCTAATATAAAAAACCTAAATCACAAGGCTCTAGTTGTAGTAAAGAATAGAAAGTCTCTACAACAACTTTATGAGCAACTCTAATCTTTATATATCTAGTACATGTAAAAAACACATGCTCTTTATACTCAATGCTTTTTCCTTCACATAGATTACAAAACCGTTCTATTCTATAAATATTATGCCAACGTCATTCCTCAATTTTTATACTATGAGATCTTGTTCAATGAGTTCGGTTGCAAATTCTAATCCTGTTCCACTACATTCCACTTTGAGTATCAAGGCACCACATCAAATAATCATCATTTGGATCATGTGTCTCGCAAAGCTTGATGAGGAGGGCAAGAATCATCAAGAGATCTCACTCGTGCAAAGTAAGTGATGATAAGTAAAGAGCTTCAACCTCAACAGAAAAACAACATGTTCTTGCAAGTACAATGACATAGTAAGTTTGGTTTCTCTCCCATTCTTCTTGTCAAATTATCTTCTATATCCTCTCCAAGCCCTTCCAACATGTCTTTTTACAAACAAGTCTCCACATTTGGATCCAATATAAAATCACTGGCAACACTTACTCTTAGATAAAAATTTCCTAAGATCTCAAGACATCGATTTAAGAATGAATATAGAGTTTTGTAACCAGTTTTTTTCCCCCGCAATGTGCCCAATTATAATCATGGGAAAAATTGATATCTAAGTATTTGTAAACCTTCATTTGCTTTAACTCTAATTTTTTATGATGGAAAGAAAAAAACTTGGATCTTGTTTCCATTATAATGATTTTTGATTTCATGAATTTGAATTCCATCTGATTTTAGATACAAAAGTTTGCGAAAGCATCAAGGTGTTTTTGTAAACTAATGGCATCACGTGCTAGTAGTATGATATCATCTGCATACATTAGGGCTTTGATGACAAAGTCTCCGAGTTTTACAATTCCATTTTCACATTACTCTAACCACATTTCTATGATCATCAATGAAAACTCTAAATAGAGTAAGAAAGAGATTAACCTTGAATAACCCCGATGGAACTCAAAGTTTCTTGAGATTGAGAAGCGTTGATCTTGGTCCAAATTAAGCTGTATAACTTGACCACTGCTCCAAGAACATTAGGCGGTTTTTCAATGCATTGTAATTTTTTCCATAAAAGCTTACGAGGAACAGTGTCAACAGCTATTTTTGAAATTGATTAAGTCACAAAACAAAGCTTCACCATTCATGCTAGAATTTTTTGATAATACACGTAGGAGCAAAATATGATCATTGATATTGTATGTTGGGCATAAATCAACTTGAACTCTTGCTCTTTTTTGAAAACACTTTGTACATGAATTCAACTTTGATTTGATCAACTTTTCAAAAAACTTGGCAAAAACACTACAAATCATGATAGTGCGATACTTAGTCATGTACTCATTACTTCTTGATTTGTGAATAGAAACAATCTTCCATAGTGATCAATATGGAGAAAAACCATAGATGTAAGCATCTTTTAAAAATTTGATGAGAATATATCCAATATAATCTACTACCCATTTGAGAAGTTTAATAGACAGATCATCTAAATACTCACATTTGTCATTTGTTAATTTGTGAGTTGAATCATCAGCTTTTTTTCAAAGAATAAATCATGCTTTAATTTGCAATATGACATATAAGTAGCTTCAAGGAAGAAATAAAGCTTTTCAGCAAAAGCTACTTAAGATTTGGAATTCTAAGAAGTATTGAAATATGGTACAACTAATCGTTTCTAAAAGAACTTGGGATATTTCATGAGCTTCTTAATCAAGAATTCTTGATTTTGCTTTTAAAAAAGCTCAATTTTTAGACTTGATGTCTTTGTATATCCTTGTCAAAAAAATTTGACTTTGAAAATGCAAAGATTTATCATCATATATTGCTTTTGCTTGCTTGCATTTAAAGCAAACCATCCATTATAAGACAATCTCTTAGCCTCCATGTTCCTATGCTTTAAAAAAAACTTAGATGGAGGGGTTTTGAGTAATTTTGCAAGTTGCAAACTTGTTGTATTTGAATCCTAGCGTCATATATTGCAAATCAAGAGCTTTTGTAAATGTTGCGCATAAAGCTTTTTTTTACAAGTAACTAAGCAAAAAATGGTAAAAGCTAAAACAAATTGACAAGTTGAGGGAGATATTAACTCTGAAATTGAGAGTGTAAACAAAAGAGATGCATGATTTGATTCAACATGAGGATTAAGAACACTAAAAGTAGAGATAAGAGAGCTACTAATTGAAAATTACAAAAGAAAGTCTATTGTGCTAGCGTAGATAAAGGAGAAACATGTATTGAATTGAGTTTTGAAAAAGCTAGAGATTTCATAAATAACCTTCAAGTTACAAGTGACTCCAAAAGTTAAAAAATGCTTTGTCAAAGAATTTGTCGAAAGATTAGAAGAGATTTTAGACCACAAACTATCATGAATTTGTTCAAAAAGAGTAGATGCAAAGATGCTACTGAATTGTACAAATTGAGTAGAATATATGCGAGCATTAAAATCTCAAGTAAGAAAGACATTCCTTTGCTCTAATATTTGAGAACATTTCTAATGTGCTGATGTAATAGTTGACTTTGATTGCAAAAATCTGTTG